CACACCACCACACAATGAACAACACCACCACATAATGACCTTCACACCACCACACAATGACCTACACCACACAATGACCTACACACCACCACACAATGACCAACACCACCACATAATGACCTACACACCACCACACAATGACCTAAACACCACCACACAATGACCAACACCACCACATAATGACCTACACACCACCACACAATGACCTAAACACCACCACACAATGACCAACACCACCACATAATGACCTACACACCACCACACAATGACCTACACACCACCACACAATGACCTACACACCACCACACAATGACCTACACACCACCACACATTGACCTACACACCACCACACAATGACCTACACACCACCACACATTGACCTACACACCACCATACAATGACCTACACACCACCACACAAGGACCTACATACCACCATACAATGACCTACACACCACCACACAATGACCTACACCACACAATGATCTACATACCACCACACAAGGACCTACATACCACCATACAATGACCTACACACCACCACACAAAGACCTACACACCACCACACAATGACCTACACACCACCACACAATGACCTACACACCACCACACAAAGACCTACACACCACCACACAATGACCTACACACCACCACATAATGACCTACACCACACAATGACCTACACACCACTACACAATGCCTACACACCACCACATAATGACCTACACACCACCATACAATGACCTATACACCAACACATAATGACCTACACACCACCACACAATGACCTATACCACACAATGACCTACACACCACCACACAATGACCTAATCACCACCACACAATGACCTACACACCACCACACAATGACTTATACCACACAATGACCTACACACCACTACACAATGACCTAATCACCACCACACAATGACCTACACACCACTACACAATGACCTACACACCACCACACAATGACCTACACACCAACACACAATGACCTACACACCACCACACAATGACCTACACACCACTACACGATGACCTAATCACCACCACACAATGACCTATACCACACAATGACCTACACACCACCACACAATGACCTACACACCACCACACAATGACCTATACACCACCACATAATGACCTACACACCACCATACAATGACCTATACACCAACACATAATGACCTACACACCACCACACAATGACCTATACCACACAATGACCTACACACCACCACACAATGACCTAATCACCACCACACAATGACCTACACACCACCACACAATGACCTATACCACACAATGACCTACACACCACTACACAATGACATAATCACCACCACACAATGACCTACACACCACTACACAATGACCTACACACCACCACACAATGACCTACACACCACCATACAATGACCTACACACCACCACACAAGGACCTACACACCACTACACGATGACCTAATCGCCACCACACAATGACCTATACCACACAATGACCTACACACCACCACACAATGACCTACACACCACCACACAATGACCTATACCACACAATGACCTACACACCACTACACAATGACCTACACACCACCACACAATGACCTACACACCACTACACGATGACCTAATCACCACCACACAATGACCTACACACCACCACACAATGACCTACACACCACCACACAATGACCTACACACCACCACATAATGACCTACACATCACCACACAATGACCTACACACCACCACACAATGACCTATACACCACTACACAATGGCCTACACACCACCACACCATGACCTAAACCACACGATGAAACACACACAACCACCACCGCCATTATTTGACCTTTCAGACTTTCTGACCTCTACTTGCCACATGCAATAAACTTTATATGCTAAATATAGCCTTGACAAATGTTTATGACACCCCTCTCCCCCTTTTCCAACAAACACACCAACCTCATAAACACCACTAGTATCACACTGCGAGATAAAACACAAATTGACCTTGACATTTCTTGACCTTAAACTACCTGGCAGGTAAGTGATTCTGTGTGACGTCACGTGTTATGTAAACAAGTAGATTTTCGGGAAGTTTAGTTAACAAGTGGTTGTGGAATTGTTGTTATATAGGTGTTTGTTTGTTTTTTTTAAATTTAGTCTCGCTTTTATTTGTTTCGCTTTTTTTAGATAATTGTTTTGAATTGAAAGAGTGTGTGACGATAATTGTCAATCAGATTTTAAAATGTTTGATTTCGTTGTTGTTGTTTTTTTAATGGCAGTTAAGGGAATTTACAATTAAGCGAGAAAGTTGTGTTTTCCTTACATTAATAAAGTTTGGGATCAAGATAGATGTAGTGGACCCTTGGAATCTATTTAGAATCGGCTTAAAAACTTAGATTACAAACATGAGCTAACATAGATGACGATTTTGTGGTACTTCATGAAACTATGGAAGTTGGAGGTTCGGGGAGGCTCTGCTGTGGGTTGTGGGGGGGGGGGGGGGGTGGGGGGGGGGGGGGGGTCCGGTGGAGGTTCTGGTGGAGGTTCTGGGAAGGTTCTAGGGAGTTTTTCTGGAGGTTGTGCTGGAATTTTTACGGGGAGGTTGTGGTGGGGGATGTGATGGAGGTTCTGCCAAGGTTCTGTCGATTAATTTGTACAGGTTCTGGGGAGGTTCTGGGCAGGTTGTGGTGGAGGTTGTGGTGGAGGTTCTGCCACATATCGACTTTTAATTCATAATTCATTTATAATGGGTGGCTGAGCAGGATATTTCTTCAAGTTAATCACTATAAGAGTATAAGGGCGACACTTCTGGGGTATAAAGTCAACCTTTCAAACCTGGCTACCATCATAACTCATATGTTCCTATAACCTCGGCATATGAAGGGACAATGTGAGCAGCACTTAACCCAGCCGCCTTTATTTTTCCAACGTGAGTCAGGTACCCATCAGAGCTGGGTGGACTCAGGGACGTCGTAAAGGCTCGATCTATGGATCCGAACTCGAGAGCCTCAGCTAGCAGTCGAGCTCTCTACCACCCGACCACGCATCCCCTGAGAGGTGCGAGCATTATAAAAAAAATTTTAATTAAAATTATATGGATTACAGTAAAATTCCATTTCAAATTATATTTATTTCAGTCTATTTTTATTATTTGAGAAAAAAATATTTTTAAAAAATATTTAATTACATAATTATATGTATTACAGTAACATTCCATCTCAAATTATACATTTTTAATTCTATATAAATTTAAATTATAAATATTTTAAGCAAGATAATGCATTGTTAGTTATAACTTGTACATAACTGAAAAAAAAGTTGGAACAAATTCCGTTGTTTGTATATAAAAAAAAAAAATTGTACACCTGTTAGTAGCTTGTAATTTGTAAACGTATACCTCTATGTTACTCCTACATAGGTATGAGTTATGGAACACAAAATAACACCTGCTCTAAGTATACATGGACTAATGTTATCTATTTATCTATTTAAAAATGATTTTTCTAGGCTAATTTTTTACAATAGCAATATTGAACTGGATATCAAATTAAACTAACAAATGTAGTTTTTAAAAGTCCATGTCTTCTTTAAAAGTAATAATAATTAAATTTCCATGTGGTAATTTTTACCTTCCCACCCCCCGACCCTTCCTCCTCTATTGATAAGTGACAACACAGAACATTGAACCCCCCCCCCTCCCACACACACCCACGCACCTGCCCACGTGACGTCAAGTAGGTCAACCACCACTCACTTCTAAAAATAACCAGAATTGTAATAAAGACCATTACTTATTTTACGTTGTTTTTAAATGTAAAAACTTTTAAGTACATTGCGTAAGATTTACTTGCCCACCCACCTAATGTGGAACACCGTAATTACAGCCACCCGCCACCCCACTCACCCATACCTCCTTCTTTTACAAAAAAAATGTAAACTCTTCTTTTGCGTGAGTGACCAACAAATAAAATACATTTTTTTTAAAATCACGAGTTTACACTCAACTATCATTTAAGAAACAATCTCTTTCTGGTAACTATCACATAATACCATATAACTTTTTGTAAATAAAGCAGTATTCTTTATACAGTAATATATTCCGTATAATGGTACGCTATAGCTATACATCATACATCATACAGTAAAACAAAATATACTCACACCTACCACCGTTACCCTAGTAGGTATGGACTGGCCAAGAGGTCCGGGAAATTTTTGAAAGAAGCCCCCAACCCCAGATTAAAAATTTTCAATGTACTTGTTTTTTTCTCCATCAATACATGCCTTGGTATGAAAGTAATGGAAATTCTAAAACGATTTAAAAAAACTATAAACACAAATAGGAGTATTACAGCACCGTTACTGGTGTCTCACCGGAATTTTTTCCTGGGGGCCAACCGAGATTTTTTTTTTTTTAATTTTCTCTGGGCCCACCGAGATTTTATTCCCTCAGGACCCACCGGAACAGAGGCGTAGCGACCCTATCCGGCGCCTGGGGACAAACTTTTCGATTTGCACCCCCACCCCTAACTTTCGATTTGCAAACCCCCCCCCCCCCCCCATCGAAATTTCGATTTGCAAACCCCCCCCCCCCTCAAACTTTCGATTGCCCCCCCCTCAACCTTTCAATTTATTTTTCCAACCCATTTTGGCGCCCCCTAAGGTCTGCGCCCGGGGACATATGTCCTCCCCCTCGCTACGCTACTGCCACCGGAATTCTTTTTTAGTGAACCCACCGGAATTTTTTTTCCAGTGGACCCACCGGGATTTTTTTTTCAGTTGACCCACCGGAATTATTTTTTTCAGTGGACCCACCGGAATTTTTTTTTTCAGTGGACCCACCGGAATTTTTTCCTGGGAGCCCACCGAGATTTTCCCCCAGTAGACAGATGGTCCAGTCCACCCCTTGTTACCTATTATATAAATGGTTTATTTGACAGAATTCAATATGGCTGAGATGTGTACATATTAAAAATCTAATTGTATAAGGAGCTACGGTGATCAGCTGGTTGTGTGTGTAGGTCGAGTGGCCCACACGCCAGGGTTCCAGGTTCTAATTCCATGAGCCCGACTGGTAGCAGTAGGCTGGCCCTTGTATTCCATTGCTATAGGGTTGGAGTAAAATAATGGAAACGTTATAAATGTGTGTGTTGTATTGGTACTTACACACAAGAAATCTTCATTTAACATAAAATTGACTGAGGTAAATGGTGAGGTAAATTGATGGAAACATTAGACATGCGTGTGTTGTATTGGTAGGCCTACTTGTACACAAGAAATCTTCATTTAACAAAATATTGACTGAGGTAAATGGTGAGGTAAAATGATTGAAACATTAAATATGCGTGTGTTGTTTTGGTACTTGCACACAAGAAATCTTCATTTAACATAATGGTTTTTTTTCCTCTTCAAAGTTTCAGGGAGGGGGGGGGGGGGAGGGATGGACATAATTTTCCGAGAAGGGGGGGTGGTAAAAGTATGTATTTTTTTTATATACACTCACTTTGTTCTGGGGGGGGGGGGGGGGGGTAGATGATGCCTGAACTCAGTTATTGTCATTGTTATTTTTTTTTTTTTTTTTTTTTTTTGTCAAAAAAGTTTTTGGAAAATTCATTGTGTGTGATATTTGGTTGTTACTTTGGTAAAAAAATTATTGGGTAAATTCAACGTGTGAGAAATGTGTGTGAATTTCCAAAACAACTTGAGTGTATGGTTTCGTAAAAATGTTAATATTGTGCCTCCCGTAACCCTAACTAACTCTGTTTAGCGAGTAGTTTCAAAATCTCCGAGACGGATGCTACGAAATTAACATCTAATCCAATTAATGAGGACAAAATTAGAATATTGTAAAACACAAATACTGACATACTTCACTTACTCGATGTAGTAAGCACATATCTGAGGAATCGTTTTTTCCCTCTTGAGGCGATTGTTGGAACCGGATCCGGCTTTTTCAACCGGTGCACCGGCCGTGGCATCGAATCTTAACGCTAGACACACCAGAAATATGATTATGGCTGTTTTCATTTTTCTAGGTCGATCAGCACTTTTAATCTGCAAAACTGTATTTTAAAAAATATCATACAATTACACACACGCACATACATATAGCCTACACACATAAATAAATAAAATAAATAAATTGAAATTTTTTTTATAGGAACATATGAGTCCTGAAGGTTGACTATTTACCATATATATATATATATATATATATATATATATATATATATATATATATATATATATATATATATATATATATATATATATATATATATATATATATATATATATATATATATATATATATGGTTCAAGATAATAACACATCTACAATCAGTATTGAATTTTGAAGTTCAACAGTTATTTCGTGGAAAATGGGAAGACTGCATTTTATTTAAGGACATTAATAAATTGCAAAGTTTATTCAAATGTGTAAACACAAAATTTAAAAAAAAAAACATTTTCAAGTAGTTTCCCTTGAGGTGTAGTTAGTGTGTGCTTTAGTGCACTAATTCTCGACATTTTTTTCTAAAACTTCGAAACAATAAATCTTTTTTAAAATTATTTTCTAATCCCTTATCCTTGAAACTAAAAAAAATAAAATGTATTTATGTTTTTTTTAAAGCGCTTACTTTTAGTTACTGATGTAATTTATGTTCACTTTAAAGTTGTACTGAATAATTTTAATGACGAAAGTTTCGATTTTGGACCAGTGTTTCTTCCAGACTTTTCTCTTTCCGAGGGGGGGAGGGGACACTTAATATTTTCGGGGGGGGGGGGGGGGAGCAACATTTTCCGGGGGTGGGGGGGGACATTAGTAAAAGTATGTTATCTATATAAATTCCATTACCATTTCGTTCAGGGGGAAGGGGGGGAAGACTTTCTTCGGGGAGCTCAACCCCCCCCCCCCCATCCCCGAAGAGATACCTGGAAGAAACTCTGTTTTGGACGGGTGGGGCGGAAGGTTAGATGTAAGTGGTGATTTTTTTTTGGGGGGTGGGGGTAAATTCGATGATAGTGCGGTTGTGGTGGTTGAGGTAGTGGTGAGGTGGGATTGTGTGAGATTGTGTGGGATTGTGTGGGATTGTGTGAGATTGTGTGGGATTGTGTGGGATTGTGTGGGATTGTGTGGGATTGTGTGGGATTGTGTGGGATTGTGTGGGATTGTGTGGGATTGTGTGGGATTGTGTGGGATTGTGTGGGATTGTGTGGGATTGTGTGGGATTGTGTGGGATTGTGTGGGATTGTGTGGGTCTTGGGGAAAGAATCTCTTGAGGCGTGACGCATCAGTCAGATAATTATTTTTTAACCGGGGTAGTCTTATCATTAAAAAATAAAATCTTTTTTAAACATTCTACTATCATATGTATTGTTCCGTGAATTATTTCCCTTTATTTCGTGACATTTAAAGTTTTCAAAAACCTACATTACACCCAAGCCATAAAGATGGTGAAAGAGTAATTATCATTTCTGAAGATAAAGCTAAATATAAATTACTTGCAAGCAATTAGGTTTTTACCCAACAAACTGTTTGATGTGTTTATAACACTGCGTCAATTTGTGCTACTTAGTTTTTAAAGGATATTGATGTGGGGATTTTAAAAATTAAACCCCGAGTAAGTATCTGAGATTAGGTTTTACTGTAGTCCACCTAAAAACATGATACAGGGTAAAAAAAATTTGCGGTTAAAAATTCTTATAAAAATGTACAACTTTACTCTTAAAATTACGCATAAGTTTTAATATTTAAAAAACGTTTAGATGTATATGAATGTAGAAAACCTTAAATGGAAACACTACCTCTATTTTCCTTAACGTTTGTGTTTTCAATAGAAAATAGGAGGTGTTGGTGATTCCAAATGGCGTCAACGACCAAAACTATATTACTCCTTTTTATCAATATGGGGCAAGTGAAGTAGAGTTCACTTGTTTCTGTGACCTCGGCTTATGAAGAGATAGTGTGGTCAGCACTATGCCCAGCCGCCTTTACTTTCCCTAACGTGAGTTAGGTACCCATCAGAGTTGGGTGGACTCAGGGAAGGTCTACTGACTTGAACGCGGATTCGAACTCGAGACTAACGGGTTAGCAGTCCAGCTCTCTATCGCTAGATCACTCCGTCCCATCAATAAGTTATCAATAACTTACACGCTTTCACCTGTTCGTATATTACTTCATTATATTGAAGGAAATTTACGCCAATATTTGAATTAAGAACGAAGGAAAAGAAGAAAAACGCCATACTCCCACACAAGACAGGCTATTTCGTAACATTTCCAGTGATTTTCTCTTTAAATTATCTTTCCTATAAGACTGATAAACATTAAAAAAAACATTGACTAGTTTTTATTGTTTGAAAATAGGCGCTACGTCTATATCAATTTTAACTTGACACCAACAGTTTATAGGTTAGTTGTAAAACCAAAATACTCCAACAAGTTTAAGTATGAGTATTACAATATTTTTCTTAAGCTCCTACTGATAATTGAATATTTATTTAATCTGATCGTAAAGAAGAATCTACGTACAAATGTACGTGGAAGAACGGGAAATTCCAGTCCCAAGCGACGAGTCCATTTGTACATACAAGGGGTGGAAGACTGGGGTTAATTTAAATATATCAATTCTTAAATAGATTTTTAAAAATTTGGTGAATACTTGAAATACAGACTGATGTTGAAATTATTTATTTTATTTTGGAAAAAGGTGGGTAACTGTATTGAATACGGGCGTAGCACTGTAGTCTTGAAACATCAATATCGTTTTTATTCCAGGTACGGTCAGACAGAGCTATATGTCACAGTCACCTCGAGTCAATGTCCCACAGGATTGTGACATTAGAACTCACTGCCTACATGTCGAGACTAACATTAATAACGTAACCACTTCCCTGACGTTTTTATATATTTTTTTTAAATTTAATTTGCGCTCTAGAGAAACAACCTTAATATTATTTTAATATTGTTTAAATCATTTTTTTAAAAAAACTCAGTAAATCAATAACCAAAATCTTCTCGCTTTAAATTGACTTTACAAAGTTACTTTCTTCCGTAATGATATAAGTTACCGTAATATAACGCTAATGTTAACTCAATTGTGCAAGCTTCTCTTCAGGTTATTCCAAAGAAATAGGAAATATTTTCCACGTCTCAAAAATCTAAGCTTCCTGACCCCCCCCCCCCCCCCCCCCCACCTAGCCCCATCCTAGATGTAACATGATTTACGGATGGTACTTTTGAAAAATTCGCTAATCAGCTAAGCCATGGGGTGTTTAATTACTTGATCATTTCCTGGTTGGGAAAAACTAGGTGACGTCATATCCACAAATAGAGCCTGCAAGATATCCATCTTTGTAAAGGGGTTCACTTTACTCTAGCTCAGGGGTTCTTGACCTGGGTTCGATCGAACCCTAGGGGATCGAACCCTAGTGGTTCGGTGAGTAAGTCTCAGGGGCTCGGTGGAGGTCAAGACACACAGCCACTGTTGACCAGTTGGGCAGTTTGAGTCTAGCGCCACCAAAACTAAGAGAACCCTTCCTTAAGCTGCATGAAGATGGGAAATACAAGAACACAATCAATGTGATGTCGCGGATTTCTGAAGGATTTAGGAAACTACTGAAAGGCAACAGCAGCATTACTTCTTCCAGGGGGGGAGGGAGGGTGGCACTTGTAATATTATTTTTTTTGGTGGGGGGAGGGGGAGGGGCGGAGTCTATATTTCCAGGGGGTGAACGGTGGACAATGGTAAAAGTATATATTTTCTATATAAGTTATTTTTCGTTGTCAGTTTTTTTTTAGATTTGCCGTAAATAATCATTATTATGTTTTAGTTTTTGTACGAAAATCATATTTTGATGGTTTTGTTCTATAAACACCGTGAAATATATAGCTTTGTTTTAAATTGGGGGGGGGGGTGTCATATTTTATTGTTCCTATTAAGAAGGGTTTGGGGAATGAGCATACAGTGTTTCTTCCAGACTTTTTTCTCCGGGGGGGGGGGGGGGGGCACTAGAAATTTTCGGGGGGCGGGGGGGCGGTAGACTTTCTTCGGGGGGGGGGGGACGGACACTGTTAAAAGTATATATTTTCTATATAAATTATATAAATTTCATTTAGTTCGGGGGGGGGGCAGTAGAAATTTTTCGGAAGGACTAAGCCCCCCCCCCCCCCCCCCGAAGAGATGCCTGGAAGAAACTCTGTGAGCATATAATTGGGGTTAAAAGAGTTAAGAACCACTACTCTAGCTAAAAACAGACACAAAGACAATTAAACACTCCGCCCACCAATACACGTGACTTTTTTTGAGTAGATCTTACACGTAGAACTAAATAACGCTGTATGACGGCCAGTATATTGTAAGAGAAACTTCTTACAAGTTCCCCAAACATTTTTGACCCGGTTTCGTGTGCCTCTTGACTTCATTCTTGCTTTTATTTTTATGCGGGATAGAATTTCTAGCGGGGATTTGAAACGCATTATTTCCCTTGGGGTGACCACACGATATTGGAGCACTACACGCCCTTCTCAAATTACGTGAAATTCTTAGATCAAATTTTATCAAAGCATGCACGCTAAAAATGTTAAACTTTTATTGTAAGCAACAACAAAAGAAATTTTATACTCTTCATAATTTAAAATTTAAATTAATATTTTAAAATAGATCATTACATACAGTTTCTCACCGAACTCGATACTTACATCTATTTTTGGGCTTTTAAAAAGAAATTATCAATTAGCAAGTAATTATTTATTAAAATTAACAAAAACATTTTATAAAAAGATAATGATACAGTAGATCCTAAAGTGATGGCCTTGGAAGTTGAATCTTTCTTTGTTTTTGAAATGCAGAAATTTTATTTGTGTTTATTGAGAAAAAGAATAGGATAAGCTAGCTAATCCTTTTATTACACCACAGGGCGTGAGAACACACAGGCGGCCAAAATAAACATGGAGAGGATGAATGGAGAAAGAGTTGAAGGAAAGAACCCTAACATTCGAATAGGCAGAGGTTATAGCTAGAGACAGGATGACATGGCGCCCATTTATTGATACCTCATGCTGGAAGCATTATGATGATGATTAAAAATTAAAGCGGGAGGGATCTCCCCTAAATGTTCTCGAATGTGCTTAACACTACGGCTGGGTGGGGGGGGGGGGGGGGGGGTAAGAGGGGGGGGGGGAATGGCAACATATATAGTCATGATTTTCAATGTGTGTATAATAGTGCGGAGTATAAGTACTTTATAAATGCATATGCTTTTGTAGAGAAATCGATAATAGCGCAAAGTACAATTTCCGGTATACGGAAATTACTCAAAATTTGACAGAGGGCAGAAAATAATGAAATCTTTTATTAATATGTGAAATTTTGTCTGTCTATCTGAAACAATACTCAAGTTATAGACTTTTGAAAAACCAAAATTAGACTAAATTCCACTTCCGGTTCCCAGATACCGCTGAAAAATTGATACAGAGCTGCAAATTTGATATACTAATATGTGAAATTTCATCAACATAACTGTAACGATAATCAAGTTATCGTTTCACACACACACAGAGAGAGAGAGAGAGAGAGAGAGAGAGAGAGAGAGAGAGAGAGAGAGAGAGAGAGAGAGAGAGAGAAATACGGACAAAATTGCAAAAGCTAAGTTTTTTCTGACTCAGGGAGGTATAAAACGTTGAAATCTGGGAAAATCTCTATTTCGAATTTTCGCACGATTACATTACTTCCTCTATACTTCGTATACGAGAAAATAATAAATATGTAAACATTTCCCTAGTAGTTTACACGATGAATGGTGAGAATGGACCAGGACCGAGAACTCTGGCTGACAACTAACACTTTTCCACGAGTGACGTGAACTTGAAATGTATATAGTCTACACTGTGACATTAATGTGTGATGGCATTATTTAAATCCAACGTTTTTTGTATTCATTTACATTTTTTTAAATACTAAATTTGAAGAAGATCGTGGTTCCTTTGTGGTTGTTTTTTTTAAAATAAAAGCAAGGTATCAAATGTGAAATGAATTAGCATTTTTACTGGTTGTTATAAGTTTTAATTTTTTTTTCTTGGTCTATCTAGATTAATATTTATCTAGATTAATATTTATTGCTATTTTAGCTTGGACATCTGCAACATCACAGCTTTGACCTTAAATTCACAATTAGAAGTAGACAAGCACCACTTTTAGCTGACCTCATTGCTTCAAGCGTACATAGATCTACAAAATTTATCAAACACAATTCAATATTCGCTCTCAATACAGTATAAACGTATTAAGTGAAGTCATATTTTCGGTGCTATCTGTAAATAATACCCGTATATATACCCTGCAGGAAGAACAAATCAGAGACGATATAAAACATATTAAAAGAGATAACAGAACACCGAGTAAATATATTGTGATAAAGTCTTTGGACATGCCGGTGCACGCTGAATATCTGTCACTGTCAACGTGCAATTTTATCCACCATGGGAACATCTATATATATAATTCTCTTCTGGGAGACGTTAGAAAACAAGCTGCAAGCGCCTCCTTACAGTCCCCTCTCTTTCTCTCTATCACTATCACTATCACTACCACCCCCACCCCACCCCCACATGGTGTGGTGAGTTGTGGTCACGCTAAATTAAATGTTTACAAATCGTAGAGCCGGGTTTAGTGACGGCTATTAGGGGCAGATAATTTAGTTTGAAACGATTTTAAACTTACAGGAGGTAACTAAGAGGATGCTGCTTTCACGGGGGGGGGGGGGGGTGTAGGGTCGGGGTTACGGGAAAGGGGGGGGGGGGTTAGTGTTTTAAAGCAAATATTTTCAGTGGCAGCATTGGTACTGTCGAATTCACAAATTATGAATTACTGAAAAGTAGAAAATAAAACAACTAAATAGCGGCGTATGATACGCCGCGGGTCGGCTCGTTAAATTATAATGAGCATAGTTGATATTGTAAAATAGGAAGGCCATTAAAAAAAAAATTCTGCACGCTCTTCATTTGTATCACTTTTAGTTTTCCTTTGAAATGGGTTTATAAAATGTGGTATCGTAGTGTTGCAGACACGTCATGAAGTAGCTGAAGCAATCAACAATATATATATATATATATATATATATATATATATATATATATATATATATATATATATATATATATATATATATATATATATATATATATATATATATATATATATATATATATATATATATTTATATATGTAGGCCCTATATATATATGTAGGCCATATATATGAATATGTAGGGCCTATTTATGTAGGCCTATGTATGTATATATATATATATATATATATATATATATATATATATATATATATATATATATATATATATATATATATATATATATATATATATATATAGGCCTATATATATATAGCATATACATATATACATATATAATTTTAAACCCATGGTATTTATGCAACATAGGGTGACTGCCGCCTTATATTCTTAAAGTACATGATATTTTATCAACACAATTCACAACTACAATAACATCCATTCTGCGACAAAGTATAACAACGACAGCAAGTTATGTTATTTATATTTATTATATACATTAATGTTTATTTCTAATTTGTACACCAACTAAACTAAACATGACCAAAAAAAACCAGCGCCAATAAATCAATCAGGAACTAAGGAGTTTCAGTGAAGTGGTCGAATCGCTAGTGTTGCAGCGATGATGCTGGGAGACCTAGGATCTAATTCCACTGGCCCAGCTGGTTACAGCGCGGGGGTCTAGGGATGGATAAGCTGTGGACAAATGGTTTCAACATAAATGTTAATTCAGATAAGGCTTCTAATTACTTTTTGATGTCAGGGGTCAACTAACACGGGGAAAAATTCCAGTAGCCCCTGGAAAATTTTTTTAGTAGGCCTGTATAAACTGGGCTGTAATAGTCCTACAGTGTGTGTCATTTAAAAAAATAATTTGTTGGTATTTCTCAATTTTACAATTATTTTCATTCCCTAATATCAAGGCGTGAAATTCAGCCTATATGAATAAAACAATACACACAGAAGATTTCAATCGGATCTGTTTTAAAGTTTCACGGGCCTCTTGGACATAGCCAATCCACCTCTGGTTGATACTACATACTAAATTTTTTAAAATCTATGTTTTAAAAGCTCTAACGTTGTAGCCAGTGTTGTAAATCGGGTGTAAAATAGACATTGCCGTACCTATACGAGGTCGCACAATTTTAAAAAATGTTTTAAAAGCTTTAACGTTGTAGCTCGTGTTGTTAAGCGGATGAAAAAATAGACATTGCCGTACCTATACGTGGTCGTAAAATAAAAAAAAAAGTGTTTTAAAAGCTTTAACGTTGTAGAAAGTGTTGTAAAGCGGGTGAAAAAATAGACATTGCCTTACCTATACGAGGTCGTACAATATAAGAAACGGGAGTGTTTGGTCGAGTGGTAGAGCGCACGCCCTTACCCAAACGCCATAGGAAAAGTAATTTCGGCTAGTAAAAGAACTGATTACACTATCTGTTCACATGTTACAGAACAGAAGTCAACTTTACTTGATCTGAGCTTTCGACAACGAGGTTTGAATGGCTATTTCGTCTTCTTAAGAATGGAGAACACAACAAAAAGATCTAGGCACTGCTCTAAACCAAAAGATCTTCAAGACATAAATATGCCCCCACCTTCCCACCACCCGCCACTCTCAAATAAATAATCCTACTGTTATCAGAATAAGCGGGACTGACAAATAAATCAATAAAAGTTCTTTGACCATAGGGGCTTGGACCATAGCATGGTTAGACCACAATGGGCTTTGACCACATGTGCTTTAAGAAGTTGCATAAAAATCCAGAGGCTCCCGGGGACAAACTTTCATTTTTGCGCACCCCCCCCCCCCCCGGGGGGACAAACATTCAATTTGGCGCCCCCCCCCCCCTTTATATTTTTAATATTTATAATGCAAAACAGCAGCTAAAATGAGCTTTTATTTTTTTTAAAACCCAATTTGGCGCCCCCTAGGGTCGGCTCCCGGGGACATATGTACCCCCTTCCTGCCCCCCCCCCCTCGCTACGCCTCTGTAAAAATTTAGAATGAACTAAGCCTAACCTCTCTTAGGTTTTTATATAGTCTTTTTTCCGTAGTTTTATTAAACTTAATTAATAAGAAAAAAAAACATCGACTAATTTTTTTAAATATTAAATATCTTCTCTCTTAATATCTGTATGAGTTGTTTTGTTTTCCTTTTTTTTTTAACTCGAAAAAATATTTATAGTTTTTAAATAATTTTGCCGACATTATAATACTGCTGGTAAGTAGGTCATCAACCAGTTCTACGACTCAATAAAACCTGCATGAGCCATAGAACTGGTTGGTGACCTACTCACTTATTATAAAAAATTCCAGAAAAAAAAAACCTCTTAATATTTTCTATGGTGAATCACATATGTAGGCCTTTAGTTCAATAATTCCACACACAAAAAATATAACCGCGGGCAAAAATTACCTGTCGTAAATAGCACAGCTCAGCGCATTTGACCTCCGTGTGGTCTGAGTAACTTGCCGTACAAGCCTGAGCTTCCCAGAGGTCCGCACTGGGGCAGTAGACGTCAGTCCCGGGGAGAGAATGACCAGACAGGCTAGTATCGTTACGACAATGGTTTGCATTTCTTCGGGATTGATTTATCTACAAGTAGAACAGTAAACATGTCTTCACCCTGCTAGTCTAGAACATACTGTACATACAGTGTATTCCACAAATAACAATGAGAGAAACAGCACATGTGTGCTTTTTGCTAAGAAACACTACATATTTATACTTTTCCCTACAGAAAAAAGTACGTATATGCTTTTTTTTCTGAGAAAAAAAGCAGATATCCTTTTTCTTAAAAATAGCACATATATGCTTTTTCTTAAAATAAAACACATGCTTTTTCCGAAGAAACACATCATATGTATGCGTTTCCTAAATAAAATCTCACATATATGCTCTCCCCTCACTGAGTAAAGTACCACACATGCTTTGTCTTCCTTGAGAAAAACAAAGCATACGCTTTCCCTAACTCTGAAAAAATTAACCGGGAGTGATCTCCCCTAAACTTTCTCGAATATTCTTATATAACACTACGGAGGATGGCAACTCGGGATATAGACATGATTTTTAATCCATTTTTTAATTACTTAAACTTTTTAAAATAGAATACAATCTCGTAGAAATAAGAATTGTGCACCAAGTGAACGCCAAACAACCTGTGTATAATAGTGCGGAATATTATTACTACTTTATAAATTTACATGCGTTTTTTGAGAAATCGGAAATAGCATAAAATACTACTTCCGTTCAACGGAAATTACGCAAAATTTGACAGAAGGCAGAAAATTAGATCTTTTACTAACTTGTAAAATTTCATTTATCTATCTAAACAAGTTATAGACTTTTGAAAAAAATTTGAAAGTAGAATAAGTTCCACTTCCGTTTACCGGAAATCGCAGAAAAGTTGAAACGGAACTACAAATTAGATTTAATACTTGTACATGAAATGTCATCAGCCTAGCTGTAACGGTACTTAAGTTATCGTGTTTACAGACAGACGGAGGTTCACAACTAGCTCACTAGGACTCAGGCAGGTAATATCTTGTTGATATGCAAAATTTGCTAAAGTTTATTACTTATACAAATACAAAAATTAGCGCTCACTTTGACCGTGAACATTACCCAAATTTCTTACCAAAACTTCAATATTACTCCAAAACTTCGGACAAATCACCTCTATGTATTGTAAGATTTTTTTAATAAACGTTGATTTAAAAAAAAAAAAACACCTCCATTCAACTCTAAATTCCAAACGTTTTTTCAACTACGCGATCGCCGTAGCTAACACGCAACAATAAATAAAATAAACACCCATACAAAAGATGACATTGATATTCAAATCCAATTCCCCCCCCCCCCCCCCCAACGCCCTGTCTTACGGTGTTGAAGATTCACAACGACCGTGTTGTATTTGCACATGGCGGATATTCGTGTCATGATGAAACATCGGGTTGGGTAATAAAACATGACACCGTAAACACGGCGGTGACATTTCGTTTCTCCTCTGGAATTTTTTGTCCTCAAGCAGCGTTACGGTGTTACGGTGAAATTTATACCTGTAATTATTTTATCCTCGTGGGAAAATACCCTTTTAATACATTCTTGCAAAAAAATTAGCCATGTTTTTTTAACATAAGAAATACGGTATTTCAAGTATCTATGAAATGTAGTCTGAATAATATTTCATACTAAACGCGTTGACCAAATTAGAATATCTTTGCCAAATGTAAAAAAAAAAAAAAGAAAATACATAATCGATATTTTTTCCAATAAGTGTGTGAAAATTGACTTCTTAACATATATGCTCGAAGTAAATTAGTATTTTGAGCTTAGAGTTAAGCTTAAGGTTAAAGCTAGAGTTTGGATACGGCCAGGGTAGAGGATGGCAGCCGTTTTTTGAGCAAAAAGCTTTTTTTAATATATAAAACGTCTCTAAAAAGGACTGTGGGAGTCGTTTACACATTTATATTTTTTTTTTAATAATGTAATTCTTAAAACCTACATTAAATTATACAAACCTACATTAAACCTATCTAAAATGTAATTTTCTACACTATTTAACTTATAAAGTTTACTTTATGCTTACTTACGAACAAAACTCCTTTTTCACTTATTCAAACCGCCTATGGTACACAGTCTATAGACCTTTGGGCTAAGATTAGTGGTAGCATTAGTAATACTAACTACTGACACCCTAACACCCCTATTTTCTGAAGAGTCCATAATCGAACAGTAGAATGCTCACTATCCTACAGTGTAATATTTTCAAGTAGCTCAAAGTAACTGACACACAAGTGGTAGTGATGTATGTAAACAATGTAGAAAGTAACGGTAACTCTGTCTCTTCAATTTCTAGAGTTACCGGTCTTAAGATTGATAACGAGTCCGAAAATGGCTAAAGTAGTCTACTTACATTTCTCACAAGTAGTTCAACAGTGACGAATTAAACCAATGCCATGTCATTTATCAGAATAGAAAGTAGGATCATTAGCAAGTCGAGCCAAAGGGCGTCTACTCTGCTTGTTTTACCGTCCCCTCCTGTAGTGCAGCCCATACTAAAAGGACTATTTTTAGCAAGTGAATGGCAAGATTTACGACATGGTGTAGCTTATGTTTTTTGTTGTGTATACAAGTGTCGAAAGATCAATAAACAAAACGACGTTATATTGCTCGTACTATGGAAAACGGAGTGATTTATTGATTGAATGAGGGCTCATCGCGGAGGGTCTCAAAAAATGATGGGGAGGGGTCCACATCGACTAGGTATTGCGCAACTTTTACATAACACAGAAATGGGGTTAATCATTAACCTCAAACTCTACCCAATATACCGGCCATCACACTTTATTCTTCTTCATCGTTCTTAATTTTAATGTTGGAAGGGATTTCCTTGAACACGATACATTATTAAGTGTCAACCTGTTAAGCGCCATAAAGGCCGTTGAATTTTCTTTTTGGATTTGCTTTCGAAGCCTTTGTCTACCAAACAATAAACAACAATACAAAGCAGCCATTATTTTGGAGTTGTCTCTCCTAGACGAGTTGCTGTCCCCAGCTAATGAGCCTCATCTACCCGGGGGTTCGAACTTAGGACAACGATTTAGCAAGCATGAGCTTTACCGGACCGACCATGCCGGCCCCATCACACTTAATATTATTAGATTTATAGGATGTACCTTATTCCTCCACCCCCCCCCCCCTCAACTCCCTCGCTAACCCAACCCAACATACTGTTTCAACGGCCATCATCCATCATATTATTTGATGTTTATAGGAAGTTTATAGGAAGAAACTTATCCCATCCACAATCCCCCCCCCTCTCTTTCTTTCATTATATCCATACACAATCTGCTACAGCAAAAACTATTTTTTTTAAATCATTATAGAAATCACTTTTTAATATCTTCTAAATACTACTGCAAGAAATAAACAAACTTAGAATCAAGGAAGTCAAAGTAACTAAAAGTTTCCCTTACAAATTTAACGAAACATTGGCCAAAGAAAACGTTCATATGTTTCTTGACCTCGTCATTTTATGGTATGGTGTGGTCAGCACTTTGCCCAGCCGCCTTTATTGTCCCCAAACAAAAGTCAGGTACCCATCAGAGCTGAGTAAACTCAGGGACGTCTAACAGTCACAATACGTGACTAGTGACCCTCGGGTTTGAAGCCGAACTAATCAAAGCAATAAAAGAAAGTAATGTACAACATCACTCTACACAACGCCTACACCGTGTGGTTAAATATAACAAAAATAAAACAGTACCACAACTCGCATATCTACTACATCTACTGTAGTTCTATTTGAGTAATTAAATTGTGATTAATTAGGTGACCCCATAAACTTTAGGTAAAAAATAACAAGAATAATTCTATATTTTAATTTTTAGTTTTGAAATTATATCTAAAGAAGGTCACCTGAAATGGAGTTTAATTCCATTAGTTTAGCGTGTCTAAGAAGCCAATCCAACATCTGTTGCGTGTTTACTTCAATCACAAATCGCGAGATATCTTATTTCATTGGTGATGGCTAATATCCCATATACAGAGAGTATTCGGCTAATGTATAAATATTATTCAACTCGAATTTCATTTTGCTTTAAATGAATCTGAAGACGAAGATTGTTTTTCGGGTTAGCACTCGCGTATTCTACTACTAGATCACTCCGTCCCATTGACCCACCGTGTATTCGGGCCTGCCCAGAAAATAAAGATATTCTGATGCCCTTTATTTAACTTTCTTTGAGGCTGTTTTTCATTTTGCTTAGAGCTTCTAGCACATGAAGAGTTCAAGACTCAATGACCTGGAGGGTAAAGTGGGTCATACGGACATGATCAGGGGATGGCGTGGTCGAATGGTAGAGCGTTTATCTGCTAGCCCGAGTGTCTCAAGTTCGGATCTCGGTTAAAACGTATGACTGTCGGACGACCTTGAGTCCACTCAGCTTTAATGAGTACCTGACTTACGTTGGGAAAGTAAAGGCAAAGTGCTTCATATACCGAGGTCCAGAAACAATTGAAATTTAATTCATCGACCCCGTGAATTTCTAGGTCTATAGAGGAACTTTACTTTTTTTTTTCTCGGGCAGATGTGGCTCGTTAGCTGGGGACAGCCACTCTTCTAGGAGAGACAACTGTCTTTTAGTTTGTTCTTGGTTGGACAAAGGCTATGGAAGCAAAGTCCAAAAAGGAAAGCAGGCTGAAATCGGAGTCAATGGCCTCAATGGCGCATAACCAGTTAAGACGTAATACTTAATTGTGTTGGAGGGGATCCCTTCGAACACTAAAATTAATAGACATGATCTGCCACAACCAAGTAGGATTCACATTTTGCATATTGAAGCAAAAATCAAAGTTAAAATTCGATATCTTTTTTTTTAGAAATTAAAATATTCTCCCAACAACCAAACAAGCGAAGTAATGCTCTATTTTGAAAGCCGGACAACCTATAGTATGAGAACCACCGTAACAACTTTTTACCATGCCTGAGGTAAGCCTCTGAGCAATCGAGGGACCAGATTTTTCTAACGGTGCAATCAGATTTGGATTTACATGATAGCATTCTTCTATGACGTATGTTCTAATCGATTCGATCACACCTTCAGATGCATGACGTAATAGGAGACACGTCACGGTGACAGGTGGGGCATACAGAACAGGTGATTTGGAGGCAGGGGGTGTCCATGTGACAGTCAGACGCCAACATGTGAACAATAAGTGGCAACAGCTACAGTAAGCTTGACTGACAAAAGATATAGAGTAGGTTTCACTTGACTGACAGCAGATATAGAGTGGCTTCATTTGACTGACAGAGGATATAGAGTAGGCTTCACTTGACTGACAGCAGATATAGAGTGGCTTCATTTGACTGACAGCAGATATAGAGTAGGCTTCACTTGACTGAAGTAGATATAGCATGGCTACACTTGACTGACAACAGTTATAGAGTAGGTTTCACTTGACTGGACAACAGATATAGAGTAGGTTTCATTTGACTGATAGCAGATATAGCACGGCTAGACTTGACTGACAACAGATATAAAGTAGGCTTCACTTGACTGACAGCAGATATAAAGTAGGATTCACTTGACAGACAAAAGCTATAGCGGAAGTCAACCTGATTGACAATTGATATAGCGTAGGCCTCGCTTGACTTACGTCATTTTAGCCTAGGCCTCGCTTGACTGAAACAAAATATATCCACTGTCTCACTGTTGGCAACTTTGTGCGTGCAAGTTGTCAGGTAATCTAACTACTTTTATTCGCACACAATTACAGTAAATAACACAGCCCACTTTGTTAAAGGTACTGCACCAACTTAATAATATAAACAATTTAAAAAAAAAACGTAAGAATCAATAAAGCGGTTAACGCAACTGACTGGCAATATTTAACCGCATCAAGTTTTCCTTTGTTGGTTTTCTTCAACAAAACAACGCTCGTATATCAGACTTGTTAAGATTTACTTAGATACTAAGATGGATTCCTGGTTTATCGTTTAAAACAATAGAAATCAGACCCAATGAAACGTTAACAGCTATTTTAATCAAGAGGAAATAGAGAAATCGTTTAAATTAAAAATAACTTTCAATTTTAATTTGCTACTAATTTATTTGCCAGAAACGGTTACCATTTTTGAAGACAACTGATCTACGCTCAGGTCAAAATAAGTATCAAGGAAGTTCTGACCAAAATAAAAGCTAATTGGAAACTGTGGCCATAAAAATTTAACTAGAAAAAATTTGGCCACAACTGGAACTATTTGAAATTTCAACATTTTTTTAATTACTCGATTTTTTTAAAAAGACTAAGGGAAATTTTTTTTTCCAAACAATTGTTTCGAAATATATTTCTTAAACTGTATCTTTTTTTTTCAAAAATGTTTCGAAATTGTTTTTTATTCAAAAAATTATTACAAGCTTTTATTTTGAATTTTTTTTTTAATTCTTTCAATTTTTTTAAAATTTTTCAATTTTTTTTTTCTTCAAAATATTCGTTCGATTTATTTATTTTTAAATTTCTTTCGAAATAGTTTTGAAGTTGTTAGACTTAGTCCGTGGAAAAGGACTTACATTTAAAGCACTTATAAGCTGATAGTCAGATATCTAGTCTGGATAAAATAGGGTCATTCATTCTGTTAGGACTATTTTCATTTTGCAAATAGAGGGTAGAGATAAGAGAGGAGGAGGGGAGGATGGAGAGAGAGAGAGAGGGGGGGGGGGAGGAGATCAACAGATGGGACGTACATCCAAATTGTATATATTAAAGAAGAAAATAGAAGAAAACCCGTTTTGGTTTACGTGAGTTGTTTTTTTTTTTAAATGGGTGGGTAGCTGGGTGGTTGAGAAGGTTGGCGCATGCGTGTCAGGGTGGGTTGGTTTTTGTGACATCATTTGGGTGGAGGCTTTCTGCTTTGTGGTGATGAGTGATAAGGGGGGGGGGGGGCGTGTAGTAATCAACTAAAATTGCCTGACGTCATAGTAGGAGGACCAACTAAATATAAAAACAATCAATATAACTAAAGGCTAATAATTATAGCAGAATAAAAACATGGCCCCAGGGAAGGAGCGCCCCCCCCCACAGCTGTCCAATGTGGGTTAATTTATATGAAATATCTGAAAGAAACACTGCTTATCCCACCCCGCCCCGCGGCTATGTTTGTGATGTCACGTATGAACCATCCTTTATACAAAAAAGCGAGTTCCTGTAGACCCGCTTTTGTGCCACACTAAAATTGTTGTGGTTATTTTTTTCAATGTCTGCTACAAATACTAAGTAACAAAAGTTAATTATGTAGAGCAGTCTGCGTTTAAAAACAGGAACCAGATATACTGTAACTATCAATGGTATAAGTATAAGCTTTTGTATAATTATACATTTTGTAAAAAAAGTAAAAATTCCTACCTTTTTCCATCTATCTCCACGACAGCAACAAAAAGTGTTGTTCAACAAAACTACTAAAAACAATGTTTCGTTTCTACGTCAGTAATCGCGATACGGACCACACATCTGTCATAACCCAACACGTTACGACCAAAATAATATGGTACACAACGCTGAATCTGGCCAGGAAAAAAATACATTACCTGAACCGAAATGTAAAGAAAAAAAACTGGGTTAGTAGAGACATTTTGTAGAGGAGTCGGACAAATCTAAACACATTTATCTTTATTGTCGTAATTAATCCCCCAATCCTAGTCCATCGCTTATCTATGCTAATTAACTCTTTATGAGATTACCTGTGGGGGAGGTGCAGTGACGCGTAACGGCAGCCCGGTGACGGCCAGGTAGGATGTGGGTCGACCCCCGCAGGGCTAAATATAGACGGGTTCTTATAAGCGCGGGACTGTAATGGCGGCCATGAATAAGTACACAAAAAACAACATATGCCTCCTGTTACAAGTGGCGCGTGATTGTGGACAGGGGCGGATTTAGCTAACCCCCTCCCCCCAATCTGTCTACGACTAAGAATTAACTAAAGCCGCTAACCTTATTACATCTCAAATATAATATCCTGTCATATTTCTGTCCTGGTTTACATAAGGAGACGACATTTACGGGAGTCGTCAAAGTTCGGATGAAAATGGTAGGTTTTTTTTTAGTTTTCTTCTTAAAAATTTAAGTCATTGTGGGGGAGTTAGTGGAATGGCGTGGCTGTGTGGGAAAGCGTATTATAGTTAACTACAACAGTCCCAGGTTCGGAATCCTTGGCAGATGAAACTCGATAGCTGGGAGACAGCAACCCGTCTAGGAGGAACAACTTCTTCTTCTTCGTTCTTAATTTTTAGTGTTGGAAGGGAGCGAGCCTTATCTGCAAGAGGGTTTGAACTCGAGACTTTTTCAAATGTATCAACCATGAGCTTTTGTTGACTCGACCACGCCTCTAGGAGTTATCTCTCCTAGAAGAGCGGCTGTCCCCAGCTAACGAGCCTCATCTGCCCGAGGGTTCGAACTCGAGACTTTTCGGTTTAGCAACCATGAGCTTTACCGACTCGACCACGCCGACCCCGGATCATCTCCAAAAGCAAACAACTGCTGCCTTAAAGATTGTTCTTGTAAAAAGGCCACGGAAGCAAATCCAGAAGGAGAAGCAGGCTAGAGTCAAAATTCAATGAGCATTATAACGCATAAAAGTAGAGATACAATCAAGAAGGAAGAAGCCGGAGAGAGGGGGGGGGGGTGAGTTTGATCTTTGTTGCGTCAATTTTTCGAGGGATGGGTTCTGCATTTTGTGATGATTTGTGATGAGATGAATGGGGGGGGGGGGGGAAGATTAGGTAAAATAGCCTGACACGATTTATTGGAAAATCACCCTTTCCCTTCCCTCTCCCACAAGCACCCTAATTTTGAATTTATACCGTACACCGTATAACCTTAGCTAGTTCCGAAATCAAAAAGTAAGTCGGGGGGGGGGGGGGGGGGGGTGGCACCAAAGCAAAACAGAAATGTATCGGAGGAATATGCTGCATTGAACTACCTAAACGAACCGATGATTTGATGAGTGATGGAATTATTTTCTTCCGCTCTTGAGATAGGGTGGGGGCATAACACAAGGGGAAAATAATTTTAAAAAGAAAAAAAAATCTCAGTTCGATCCTTCAAATATTGTTATTATTTAATGAATACCATACAAGCTTAACAGCCTCCATTCAATGCTTGTTCTAACATTTTAGAAAGCTCTCCGTCAACGTAATCTATTCAAGGGACATAATCCGCAATTAAATCCATAATCTAGATTAATCTCCCTTTGTCAAAAATTACGTGTTTAACTCCCCTTTATACCACTCTCACCACTTGAGGGGGTAAATTTCATTCTTTCCACTCTCGTAGTTAAGAGGGAAGTTTTTGAGCAGCTTTATATTGATTTATTGAAAGCACGAATAGTGCATATGTCAACAGAGGTTTGCTGTCGTGGGTATTCAAGGATCAACGGATATCATACGAACACTAAAAGACATGAATATGTATGTTGTGTGTTTTATGTGAAAGTGTGAATATTTGTTTGGTTTTATTTCAGTGGTTCTGGTGTTATAGTCAGAGGGCATTTCATTTATTTATTTATTTATTTAAATTTTTGTGTGTGGATATGTTTGTTTTATTTTTTATTTATTTTTGGTGGTAGAGGGGGGGGGGGTATTTTTATGTTTAAATATCAATGAATATGTGTGTGGATACAGTGGGTATAGGAGATTGAAAAATAGTTTAGTTGATTATATAGTAATCGCTATTGGTGTTTAGTGGGTGAGGGGTAGGATTTTTTTTTTTAATGCTGTTTTGGAAATACAGAGTGGTTCATGGGTTGGAGGGTTCACTAGTTGAGACATAATTAGTGTCATGACAACGACGTGATGTCAAGTGTCAGTGTCATGACAATGAAGTAATGTCAGGTCATGTCATTCGGTCTGGAAACCTCATTAGGTCAATAGATTATGTCATTAAGTGTGTTGTGTACATTGTGTAATGATGACTTTCGGTCATTAGTTTGCTCACATTCTTTTTTTAGCCTGTTGATCTATGAGCCATTGCAGAGGCGTAGCGACCCTTCCCGGCGCCCGGGGACAAACTTTCGATTTGCACCCCCCCCCCTCAAACTTTTAATTTGTTTTTCCAACCCATTTTGGCGCCACCCCTAAGGTCGGCGCCCGGGGACATATGTCCCCCCCCCCCACCCCACCCCACCCCCCCTCGCTACGCCTCTGTGAGCCATTCATGTAATGACCGTTAACTTAACTTAAAACCTATTTTTTTCAAGTAGCTTACTATCTAGGCGCCTTCGTGATTTTTACTTTCCCACACTGGTGTGTAAAAGGGTGGGGGGGGGAGGGTTAAGTGGGTAAAAATGTGTTTTAAAAAGTCATTACAAATCAGTTCAGAAGCCCAATATAATTACGATAATTTAATATTTATGAATTGATAATTGAGTATTACGACTACGCTTAGTTTCCTGCGTTGAATACATTTGTGTGTTGTGTGAGTTGTTTACTTATTTCAGGAGATCTAACAGGCTTGTGTTAAATCCTAATCCTAATTCCAAAGTCTGGAAGAAACACTGCCCCCCCCCCTTCCACCCGGTGATAGCTTTAAACTGTGCACAGATAATACTAACGATGTTCATCTATAGTCGGTTATAAATACAGCTAGATGTAGTATAGTTTTCTATATAGTTAGCAGGTTTACGTCATGGTGTCACAACAACGCCCCCCCCCCACCCCCATGTCGGGATTAGTCAATTTTGCTCTTAATTATAAGGACTTTTTAACTCGAATTAATTATTTATTAAACTGGAATGATCGTTTTTTACTTTCTAGTATATACGAACTATAGAGAAAGTCTTGTAATCGCGCGCAAAAAAAAAATCGAGATTTTTACAAATCGCGACGTTTTACACATCTCTGAGTCGGAAAAACATATTTTTGCAATCTTGTCCGTATGTCTGTGTGTGTGTGTGTTTATGTCTGTAAACACGATAACTTGAGTACCGTTACAGTTAGGTTGATGAAATTTCATATACAAGTATTTTATCAAAATCGTAGATCCGTATCAACTTTTGAGCTATTTCCGATAACCGGAAGTGGTACTTTTTCTACTGTGAATTTTTCAAAAGCCTATAACTTGAGTACTATTTCAGATAGATAAATGAAATTTCACACTTAAGTAAAAGATCTAATCCTCTGCCTACCTTCTATCAATTTTTTTTAGTAATTTCCGTTGACCGGAAGTAGTAATTTACGCTATTTTCGATTTCTCAAAAAACCATAAATATAAAATATAAATTTATAAAGTACTAATAATATTCCGCACTATTATGCACATTTTGTTTTGGTGCGCAATTCTTTTTTCTGCGAGCCTCTATTCTATTTTTTAAAGTTTAAGTAATTAAAAATCATGTCTATATTCCGAGTTGCCATCCCACGTAGTGTTATATAAGAATATTCGAGAAAGTTTAGGGGAGATCGCTCCCGGTTTTTTTTTCTATATATTGTTATTTTTGCCTTGGTGTCACCCCTTAAATAGTGTCACCCGGTGCTGTCCGCCGCCCCCCCCCCCTTCGCGACGCCTCTAATGAGCTTTATCGCTGCAACTAAAAGTTTGATTCATTTTGTAGTTATATCCATCTAGCCATTTTATTTTTTCATTAAAACTAAGTGGATATTTAACTTCAACTAAACTTCATTTGCCATTTTATTTTTAAAAGTTATTCTTTGACACTGTATAATGCTTCATGGCATTTTAAGTGCGAATCAGTCGTTTTGCATAAATCAATAATTTTACATAAATCAATAGTTTTATTTAAATCAACCGTTTTACATAAATCAATAGTTTTAAGTCTACACCTTTCAATCTTTTAATATTAAATATCGAATCCGAAAATTGAAAAGAAATTATTAAACTTTCTTACCAACCCCCACAAATAATTAAATACAGCTGTTCCATTCAATTTCAATATATTCGATTTATTTTGAATCGATTCCGATGGTATCACAAGAATTTTAAATGTAAACAGATCAAGAAAACACTCACCCCTTAAATATCCGTGCGACTGTTTAGTATCTGTGTGTTATGCTTGTGTTATCCTTCCCGCTTCACTCAAAGATGACATAGTTTTTCGTTCGAGAGTTCTCTTTTTTGTAGGTCACCATTTGTGGTTGTTGCCCTTAGCTCCTCCCCCTAAATAGTATTGGCTGTTGCATTCGTTTTTATACTTTATTTTTATGCTTCTACTTAATACCAGTGGCGTCACTAGGTCGGGTGACACCTTACGGTAACCTTGGATGTCACCCCCTCCTTGTCAACGACTATATAAAATACGCTAGAACTAGGTATTTTGGTGTCTCCACGCCCAACCCCTGACTCATTCGTATTGTTTAACCTTGTACTTAAATTAAGATTTAAATATTTAACAAGCTATTAAACTAAGCGGACAAGCAGAACTTCTCATTAATACTTCTCAGTATAATTCGTTTTAGTGCTATCCCCTTGGATGGTGTCACCCCCGCCCCGCCCCTGCCCAGTGACGTAACTGTTACACACTATGGGAGGAGTTACTTTGTCAATGATGTTTTGAAACACGCC